CGGTAGCGGTTAGTATAGTTAGCTTAAGTCGCTTAGACTAGTACTATATTCTTACGGAGCTATAATTATATTAGCTATATACGTTCCGCAAATTCGGTAGCCTTCTAGGCGTCGAGCCGCTACTATCGCAGAAGTAGTAATAGTAGTAGTATCGTATCGAATTTAGTACGTAGATTATATACGGTTTCTATAAAGAACGCCGAGACGCCTATACTTTCTAATACGTAATTATTTAGGGCGAACTTATATAATACTAGCTAATTAACTTAGTTATCTTAAGTATATACGACAAAGGCACGTAGGTATTACTCTATAGCCTTATTAGTATTCTCGGCCTATCTATTAGTCTCGGAGTAGTATATAGAGGATATTACTTATTCGATCTTTAAAATCTAGTATAAACGCTTCTAGAACGCTAATATCTATTATAATCCTCTATTAGAAGTAATACGTAGTAGTAGCCCGTAGTACTTATAAACCTAGTTAATAAAAACTAGAGTATAGTATTCTACCGTTATCGAGTCTACCTCTATTAGGTACTTCCTCTTTCCGAGTCTATTAGTTACTATAAGGATATTTCTATACTCGTTATAGTTAAGGCTACTATAGCTTACCGGTAGATTAACGACGAAGTCTATAGCTATATTATCCTATAGCTAAAAGAGGATCGGAAGAGGTCGGAGTAGGCCTAAGTACTAATCTTATAACGGCTTAGTTCTTCGGTACGTTCTATAGTTATAGATATATTACCGTATAGACTACGAAATACTAGGCTAGTAATACGATCGTACTAGTAGATCTAGTATTTTAGTACGACCTAGATACTCTATAGAAGGCGTATCGTAATATACTTCTATTACCTAGGTACGAACCTTATTCGTAGGATTATCGCTTAGTAGTAGGTATAAATATTATTTACTATACCTATTTTATATATAGATTAAACTATTCGTAGTACTCGTATAGTAGATCTTATACTTCCTTAGTATCGGATAGGGCTTACCCGCTTCGAGCTACTTAACCGCCTTCTATACTTCCTCGTTAGACGCGTATAACTACTAGATTACGAGATTTAGAGGGACCTTATCCTCGTCCTAAGGCTCGGTATTAGTATCTACTACGTAGTTAGGTAGATTAAACGGAACTCCTCTATCCTCTATATCGGTATCTTCTTCTATAATCGCGCTCGCGGCCGCGTATAGAAAACGATTAGATAGTAGGAGGATACGTTCTTAATACTTAATATATTCGTTATTACTACCTATCGGGAGATCTTACGTACGTCGTATTAAACTGTCCGGTTTTATACTCTAGATACCTAGACGATATATAATTCTAAAGTTAAACCTAGAGAGGAATTCGGCCTAGCGTACCTATCTACGATTAA